GTTTGGAGGGAGGTTTTTTGGGAGGCTGGAGGAGTGAAGGCAGGGATGGCACAGAGACGACCTGTCCAAGAGTTAGTGTCTAGGATCACACAGAGACATGAATTAAAAGTTCTTGCCAGTTCAAGTGACCCTCGACATAAGCAGGTGGATACAAGTTTTAATTGCAACTTTCCCTGTGGATGTAGCCAGCACACAGCAAGCCTACTGCTGGATGCATCAGAAATACCAGACTCCCTTGAAAGAGAGCCAGTTCTGCAAATGAACCCGTTTCCCTCACTTACACGGCTGGTGAATTCACGGTCAATTCCTCTACTCCCGAGAGGAAGGGGAGCACCAGCTGTCTCATACAAGCAACATATATTACCAAATGATGCAACATTTGTAAAATTAGGTCAGTCCCAGAGAAAACCGTTAGTTTGCGCTAATGGCTCACGGCCAAGAATCGGTATTAGAATCCACAGAAAAACAATTACACTGTGTATAACTCCCCACCCCAACGTTACAACTAAATACAAAGACAAAAAAGTCATAGTACATCATAAAAAAAAAGACTTACTTTTTAAATCAGAGCATAAATAGCAAGAGAAAAAACCAGTTTGCATTCATAGGCTGATTGAGTTTAAGACACAAAGGGTCCATTGTGATCATCTAGTCCAGTGTTTCTCAACCTTTTTTTTTATAATGTACCCCTTTAAAAAAGTTACGAGTATCCCCAGAACCTACAGTTTTCAGACACACAATTATTTTCTACCATTGCAACACACTTGTTTAAACAACTTAATCGTAGCCGAGTGGGCGATGAAATTTTTGGGTGTAAAAAGTACAAAAATAATAAAGTGCTGTCAAACTTTAAACAAAAATTCAGTTCTCTCCAAACTTCAGCTGTGTTGATGTACCCTCCAGACTTCTCTTGAGTACCCCTATGGGTACTCGTACCACTGGTTGAGAAACACTGATCTAGTTGGACCTTCTGCATAACGCACAGGCCATATAATTTCACCCAGTTATTCTTTCAAGGCCATAACTTGGTTTGAGCTAGAGCATCTCTTTTAGGACTTATATTACACAAAACATTTATTAGCATCTCAGCTCCATGGACTTCATCTTGTTACAAAGCAACTCCCTAACTTTTCCCCAGTTGTTAATGAGTAACATCTGCATGAGATCCATTTCACCATATTGGTCAACACGCTGGTTCTGGTGGGATTCTTTAATGCCAACACCACAGCCTGTCAATAATAAGCACAAACTCTATAGGGGCCTTTGAGAGCTAAAGTAGCAGCAGACTCTTTAGAATAATTGTTTCTATTTTGTTAGTGAGTCGGCCATACTGACTGGTGTTCCCTGAGGTGCTGCGAGAACTCGATTCACACTGAGGTCAAGGAGAGGGGATTCAGCACCTCAAGAGATCATCCAACAAGTCTTTAAAGACCATCAGGACATCCTGGGTTGTTCTCTCATGAGAATCATTTCACTACCCTCACTGACTTCACTTTTTGTAAGACGTGTCAAATTCAATTTAATCGAAAAAACGTTTTCACGGAACTTTAGACCAGCCCTACTTTTGACCCTATCCCCAGAAATTGTCCCTGCATTTTAGTTACCTCTTCCAATGAGCAGCAAGGTCTCAGCATTCCAACTGTGTCAAGACTAATGATGTAAAATCTGGTTAAAAAGTTAACCAGTTAAAGAGAATGTTAATCAGTTAACTGTGATCCCACGGGGGGGGGGAGAGTCTTCTCCGGCCTGGCCGATCCTGCTACACAGTGCTAGGCCGTGTGGCTGCTGCAGAGCAGGAACTGGGGCCGTGGGGAGGCTGCCCCAGCAGGGACAGCCTCACCACAACCAGGCTCCAGACGTGGCACATGGGGCAGCCGCCAGCCCCGCATGCCACTTATGGCATGTGTACTGTATGTTACTGACCCCTGACAGACAATGAAAGAAGGCACTTCTGAATATTGACATCTCAACTAAATATAGGGCTGGCCCGAGTCATTTGTACGCCCTAGGCGCCTGGAGCATGCGCGACCCCGCCCCCAGGTGGTGCCCTCTACAATGGGGCACCCTGGGCGGAAGCCCGGTCAGCCCGTACCTTGGGCTGGCTCTGACTAAATACCCCCCAAACCACTACTCCCAGTGCAATCAGTTACTACACTCCTCATACTGCCATCTCCAATCAAAAATGGATCAGTCTCATCATCAAAATCCTGAGAGTTTTTTGGGGAAAACAATAAATGCAGGATTTCTTTTCATTTGTCTTTTGGTGGCTGAGCCTTTGGGTTACGGTTTTAGAGAGGAACCTGAAAATGTGAGGACTAAAAGACTTTTAATTTAAAAAAAAAAAAAGTTGAGATGTTCTGTAAGTCACCTGACTCCAGGGGCTGTCACTTTAAGAAATGCTTCAAATATTACCAGAAGTGGCAACACCAACTGTATTACATCTGAAAGAACAAAAATGGTCAGAACCACAAGGAGTGCAAATTCCAGAGTGAAGAGTTCTCTGTCTCTGGCAGCCAACGTCTCCACGTTCCACCAATGATTTACATCCAAGGACCTCTCCA